GTAAGAAAAATATATTAAACAAAAAGGTTACAAAGATAGTGTAAGTGTAAGCGGTGCTTACTATGTACTAGTGTCCAATATTGGTAGTCGTAAGCGGCTGATACTACGGTATTAGAATACTCTCTCTCTCTCTTTTCTCCTCTTCTCCTAGAATGTTATATCGCATAATTTATATAGTCCTGGAAGAGTCCATGTTGTAGGTATGTTACGGTCTCACAACAGTTAGTAACAAAGAAAAGAGTATTGAACTGCTACGTGACATCTGTCCTTCTTTACGGCAGCGAATTTTGGACGATTTCCTGAAATATGAAGAAGGTCGAGGCGACGGAGATGTGGTTCTACAGATAGATGCTAAATATATCATTGACCGAGCGTATGAGGTCTTTGATAGTTTTCAAACAAGGAGGAGGCTGATACCTAACGTCAGGGAGAGGCAGCTGAAGTTTCTGGGACACATAATGAGGAAAGAGGACCTGGAGAATCTGGAACTCACGGGTCGAATAGAGAGAAATTGAGAGAAGGGAAGGTAACGCGTGACATACCTGGTGGGCTTAAGGATGACAGAACGTGGTCTGTGGAAGGAAGTAGGGGGAAGGAACTTGTTGAGAGCTGCAAGAGATAGAGGGAGGTGAAGAGCCATGATCGCCTACGTCCTGAACGGTCATGGCACATAAAAAGAAAAAAAGATAGCTAACATCATAAAGAGATAGTTGAGGTTACTGGTACATATCATAAGGATGGACAGCTTGAAGAATCTGATACTCACTGGACTGTTTGAACGGAAAGGAAACAAAGGAATACAACGCACAATATAGCTGGTGACTTTGAGTTAATGGACGAGGAGGGGAAGTTGTGGAGAGCCATGATGTCCTAAGTCATTAAGCGGCACGAGACATAGGAGGAGAACAAGAAGAAGAAGAATTGTTTCAATTCATTGTCCTTCTTTCGAAACTAAATCGTAATAAACAATAACCTTCAAAATCCAAGTAGATGCAGAAAGTCGTTTTATTTTGAGAGCAGACCGGCTCGTGGACTGCTTAATGATGACAGATTTCGATTTCTCTATGATTCCTACCAGATACTAATAAACAATCTATTTTCCCCAGCATTTTGGTTTATTATAAACGTTTTTTTACATTACATCCATTTTAATGTAAACGCATTTAAAATCCGGGAGAAAGACTTGTCAGATTTAAGAACATATATATATATATATATATATATATATATATATATATATATATATATATATATATATATATATATGAAAATATACTTATATATATTCGCATTACACTATTATTCTAACAATCATATGTATTGATTAATTCCGATTTTTAATCTTTTTTGTTTTTATTGAAAACGAATACAACAAATCATTTTAATCATTTTAATTATATTCTACTCGAAACCAGGAGGAACTGATCAAAATTATTAAAAGACATTCTCTTTTAAATTCATTTCATTGTATATATTTAGATGATGGAAAATAAGAAAAATATATGGTAAATATTCATTATTATATATATATATATATATATATATATATATATATATACACTACGCCCCGCACAAAATAATCAAGGGGGATGCCGTCTGGAGAATAAGGTGGCTAGATGTAAGGGGTGATGTGGTATCAGAAATGAAATTGCCTGACAACCATACAGGGTTCTCCTGCTTATGTGGCAGATTCTGGTTGCTAGACATAGGTTGACACATCAATACTCTGTAATGTTTGTATTAGAGCTTCCGGTGAAAATAACAAGAACAACAGCATGTTGTTTCCAAATTTCTGGCAAAGTGAATTGCGTCATGGTGCTCTTTTTCTCATGAACGCTGCCCAACTTAACCTACTATACTGTGCTATCGCCAAATCAAAAACAAAATCCTTGTGGGAAATGAAAAATATAAAATGTCGACAATTTACGCATTGCCACCTGTATATATATATATATATATATATATATATATATATATATATATATATATATATATATATTTTAAGTAACACTGAGTTAGTGCCTGACCGCTGACACTGACTAAGTACCATTGCGGAGATTTTTAAAGAAATAAAAAGTAAAAAAAAAGAAACTATTAGGGCAAAATTTGGCGTTTCAAACTATATTTTATACACATTTTAAAACATTTTAAATCTATTGTACACTTTTAAATACAGTTCACTCTACATGTAAGAAGATGAACACAACAATTTTGTCTTTGGCGGTAATGAACACTATAATATTTATCTGAAGATGACAATGTTTTATGTCGAAAGTACTCGCCATAAGAAAATAATGTATCAACAAGGCGATTTTTCTTGTTCTTCAATAATGGCACCAAAAATCTTATCCGTGAATATGAAAGGATCCCATTGAAAATGATCAGTCATCACATGTTTAAATTATTCAACGTAACTTGTCTCATTGCAATAATGCTGCCAAAATACACTCACACACATATATATATATATATATATATATATATATATATATATATATATATATATATATAAAAGTGAACATTGAAGTCAACACTTAGAGGCGACAGGCTGTTTCATGCTAGACGCATTCGTCAGGCCACGAGAGCATGAAACAGACAGTCTCCTCTAAATGTTAAACTTTAATGTTCACTTTTATATTGACACATATATAAGCAACCGGAAAAGGCAGTCTTGTAATTTACTCTAAATGTTGTCTTCACGAAGACAATGCACTGTTTGGAATTAACGTTCATTTCTATAGACGTCACTTGCTATCCACCACCCAATTTTTTGAAAGGTGCTTCAAGTTGGGCGGACAAGGTTGGTGGTCGAAAAGACTCACGTTATTCGTCTAGAAAAAGTTGTTTCTCCTGCTGGTTTAATGGATTACACTGCTGTCCTGTTGAAAGATCCAGTCATTTCGATTTCCAGTACGTAAGGATGCACTCTCCGACATAACAAGCGGCATACACTTTCTCTTTTAATAAAAGTGACATTTTTTTAGATTAAAGTTGTGATTGGATTTATTACAATGCATAACTAATGTATTTGTTAAAATATTGCGTGTAAGATAACTTTTGTGTTTATATACACGTGTATTTAAATTTCTGCAAGTTTCTCCAATGTATTGTGAAGAGCAGTTATGGCAATTTATTTTATATAACATGCTGCAGAATTCCAGTTCTCATGGGTGTTTTGCTTCTGATCATATCCATAATAGTTATTTACGTGGATATAATAAGTTTATATTTGATACATTGTTTGGGATAGTGAAAAGTTATGGAGTTAGTATGTAGTATCATGTGTCTATTTTTTCATCTAATTTATTGTTGTTAATAATGTTATTATGTGTTTTGCAGTCGTATATTATGTATGCCTCCATCATATCATTGCGGATGAAAGAATATTTGAGGTTGTTGAAAGTGTTTTCCATGTATATTTTTTCTTTGGATAAATACTGAGGGCTGCAGATTTACAGTGCTCTGAAATAGAATCCTATAATTATTCCCGAATTCATCTAGAATATAAAAGAATAAAAAGACTTTCAAAAACCTAACTTTTATTAGTTTATTAGGTATTGAAATGTGTCAATTGGTGCTATCTTTCGTTTGTGCGGCATTTCAGCTAACGTGATGAATATTTTTTAAGCATTCCTGAATATAAGAATGGTATAAAACAAATAACAATTTTCTCTTGCATATAAATAATTAGATGTTATAAAATAAAATGCTTGTTTTTGTCTTACTAAGTCACTCAGAGGACGAAACGCGTCAGCTAAGATATTTTCTTTTGTGTTTAGTAATTATATGTATCTGAAATAGATTTATATATATATATATATATATATATATATATATATATATATATATAATATATGATTGTCTGAATCATCTTCGAGAAGCGAGAGCAAGAACTAAAAGGTCTGCCTATCTAACAGTGATCTCATGTCACAATACTCACCTTTGCTCCATATGTGATCTTCTTTGTAAATCTCTAGCCGGTCTTAAGTGCCACTTAAGATTATCGCACAAACTTTCATAACTGAATAAATTAAGTTGTCAGATCTTCATACGTCGAAACCAACGAGAGAGACCATTATTACATTTATATATACACGTATATATGTATGTGTGTGTGTGCAAATATACGATATAAGAGGAAAAAAACTGTTAGATTGCCGATTCGATGTTATTTAGCATTTTTGTATTTATTTTTAAAAAACAGTACTCGATACAGAAGTAGAGCCTATATTATAATTTTTTTTAAAAAATATGATTCCATCGCGACACAAAAATTAATATGTTTCGAAATTGGTCAGCAGTAGTTGAGTTTAATTCCAATATTAAACCATAAGCATCTTGAAGCTTGCTTGAGGATGCAACTGCCACCCTGTATTTAAGGTTTAATATATATATATAAGTTTGAAAACATAGCAATTTATATGTTGCGATGGAATCATATTTAAAAAAAAAATAATTATAATATATATATATATATATATATATGTATGTTCGTCTATGTATATATATGCATATATATATATATATATATATGTGTGTGTGTGTGTATGTATACATATGCGTGTGTGCGTTTATGTGCGTTTTCCTTAGAATGATTGTTTCGTTTATACTACATTTCATGTCAGTTGCGAATACATATATGCACATATATAATTCCACTTCTGTGACTGACTATCGGTACTTTCTTCGTTAGTGTATATATATATATATATATATATATATATATATATATATATATATATATATACTGTTTAAATATTGATCGGATATATTTGTCAGCAACGTTTTGTTCATATATTAAAAGAATCTGATTGCACGTCAGGATTTTCATTATTTCCTTTTACGTATATTAAATGTGCCCCTGAGAAAAAATATTTTTTTTATTAAAATTGAAGCATTCTTATCATATTTAGTTAATAATAACGGCCATCTTTATCCGGCTGTACAATGTGATATCTCAAACTAATAGCATATAATTACAAACGGACACGCCCACATACATAGAGATAGATAGATAGATAGATAGATAGATAGATAGATAGATAGATTAGGAAACAACAGACGAACATGCAGACAAAAAGACCGACAGAGAGATAGATAAGATAGATAGATAGATAGATAGATAGATAGATAGATAGATAGATAGATAGACAGATATATATATATATATATATATATATATATATATATATATATATATATATATAGAGAGAGAGAGAGAGAGAGAGAGAGAGAGAGAGAGGGAGAGAGAGAGAGAGATTATGAAGTGACAGACAAAATAGCAGACAGATAGTGTTATGGGACCTTACCCATAAAAAATAATGTACTATTCCATACGTAATGCCATACTGTGCCTCAAGAGTAAGCAGGGAGTTCAGCCCGAAGTCGGGCGACTGGCTGATCGGTTGAACTCTCTGCCTTCAGGCGGGGAGGAACCCGAACGAGGCTACGCCGAAGGGCGGATTCTCTTTCGGGGAGGTAAACCGACCCTGAACCCGTTTATACTGGTTCAAAGGGTATATTTTGCCCGAGCCCACGGGCTCGGAGATCCCACGTTAAAAAGGCCTTGTGCCACATGATGCCCTCGTGGGGTACCCTCACCGTGGTACGAGGACCTGGACCATAACAGACAGATAGATAGATAGATAGATAGATAGATAGATAGATAGATAGATAGATTAGAAACAACAGACACACATGCAGAAAAAAAAAGACCGACAGAGTGATAGATCAGTAGATAGATAGATAGATAGACAGAACGATATATATATATATATATATATATATATATATATATATATATATATATATCGAGAGAGAGAGAGAGAGAGAGAGAGAGAGTGAGATGATGAAGTGAGAGACAAAAAAACAATTAACAGACAGATAGTGTTATGGGACCTTACCCATAATAACATAATGGACGATTCCATAAGTAATAAATACTGCGCCTCAAGAGTAAGCAGATAGTTCAGTCTGGAGTCTGAAGTGAGGTTCGTCAAAAGTCAGTCAGTCAATCAGAGCGAGCAAGTCAGCCAGTCGAGTCAGAGGCAGTCCGGAACAGAGTCGCGTTCAGACAGTTACTACAAGATATTGGAATAGTGATACTGGTCGAAACTACATTGTTCTCCCTACTAAACCTGATTGATCGTACTAACACTTTCTACTTCTCTGTATATATTCCTGTTTGTAATATATTTGTGTTATTCCATATCTGTGTTCGAGTTCTTCTTTTTTGGTTCTACTTCGGACCCACAGCGTGGTACGGGGACCTGGACCATAACAGATAGATAGATAGATAGATAGATAGATAGATAGATAGATAGATAGATTAGGAAACAACAGACAAAAATGCAGACAGAAAGACCGTCTGAGTGATAGATATATAGATAGATAGACAGAAAGATATATATATATATATATATATATATATATATATATATATATTATGAAGTGACAGACATAAAAACAATTAACATATAGATAGATAGATAGATAGATAGATAGATAGATAGATAGATAGATACATTAGGAAACAATATATAAACATGCAGACAGAAAGACTGACAGAGTGATAGATAAGTTGATAGATAGATAGACAGACAGAACGATATATATATATATATATATATATATATATATATATATATATATATATATATATATATATATATAAAATATATATATATATATATATATATATATATATATATTATGAAGTGACAGACATAAAAACTATTAACAGACAGATAGATAAATAGATAGATACATTAGGAAACAACATATAAACATGCAGACCGAAAGACCGACAGAGTGATAGATAAGTAGATAGATAGTTAACACATAGATAGATAGACAGACAGACAGGTAGACAGAACGATATACATATATAGATTATGAAGTGACAGACATAAGAACAATTAAAAGAAAGACAGACAGACAGACAGATAGATAGATAGATAGATAGATAGATAGATAGATAGACAGACAGAAATACAGACATACAGAACATATAGATAGATTAGGAACAGACAACAAGCTAGCCAGATAGATATATAGAAATGTACATACTGGAATAGATAGATTTGCAAAGGTAGTGAAACATAGATTACATACTTACATAATTTTGCAGTAACTTTCACCATGTACAAAACTCGGTTGCCACTCGATGTAGTGGGTTACTTTAGGAGGCACTTTTTATGGAGGGCAAGATTAAAACCAATACATATTAAACGCATATATAAAAAAATAAATCATTCAATTACTTTCGATATGGTAGTAATTTTTGGTAGGTACGAATTTCCATAGATATTAAAGTTTAAATATGAAAATAAAGTAAAACAAGATCCTAGAATTAAATGTTGAACACTAAAGATTTTAATCGTAGCCACGTGTTTAAAATAGAATGGATTTGAATTTGGTGATAATCACCCAAAAGAATATTATTATGAAGGCAAAGGGGACATATTTCAAATTTTAAGCAATACTACAGGATTATCATGT